CAAGTAAATTAAAAATATCATTATTATTAGTATTATTATTATTATAAGACTACGTATAAGATGTAAGTCAGTTTTAAATAGCATTTTAATGTAAATTTAATGTACTGTGAAATGTAAATAATGAATAATACAAATAACATGATATAAACAAAATATAAAAATTGTTATATTACGTAAATTAAAAATATAATTATTAGTAGTATTATTGGTATTATTATTATTATTATAAGACTACATATATGTGCATATACAGTAGTCAATATTTGAAGTGGATCAAAACCTTTCATCAAAGTTGTCCTAAAACAAAAATGTGTTCTTGTCTTAGGACAACTTTGATTAACTGTTTTGATCCAATTCAAAAAAAATATAAATAAAACATAATAATAATAATTATTATTATTATGTTTTATTTATATTTTTTATTTTAATTATATATTACAGTATATATACACAGACAATTTATGTACTATCTTTATTCTGTATTATATTTTATTTTAATTATTTACAATTTTTATTTGATATTATCTAAAATATTTATTTACTATATTTATCATTTTTACATTTAATATAATTGAATCATGTAAAATAATATTTAATAATAAATAAGTACAAATGAAAACAGTAAATAGTGTTTAATACAATATTAGTATCATGTACTATTATTTTTAATGTAGTAGAATTGAATAATAAAGAAAATTAGACATTATGCTTATTTAGGTAAATCAGATGAGTTTTCTTCTTTGACTGTTGCCCATTTATTACCTTTCTAGTTTTAGTATTCACAGCGGGATTCTGGCATTCATTGTGATAATTCCAGTTGATCCAGCCCTGTTTACCTCTTGACTCTTCATCTTTCACCTTGTAAACCTGTGGATCAAAAGTAAGGGGTGTACTTAAAGGATGTCACGGGTCTCACAACAGCAGGTGAAAGGTCGTGACTGCATCAAAATGTCATGAACAGAACACTGAAGAATGTTTTAGTATTCACAGCAGGGCAGATAGTGGTGAGCGGGATGACAGCATGCATAAATGAACGCCATGATGACAATATGATAATATAGTTATAATTATAATACAGTTATAATATATATAGTTATAATACAGTGAATTAAAGTGTTCAGATTCTACAGTAGTAGAGTCTCTACCAGTCACACATTTCTATTGTTGCACATACAGTATACACGTTTTATAATAATGTTTAATTTTGTATGTTACTCTTTATTATTCAGTTCTATTGCACAAAATAGTATTATATGATACATTTTATTAAACATTATGTACTTTATTTTAATCATTTACAAACATTATTTTGCATTATTCAGTTCCATCAAATGAAAAATAATAAATATGGTAAATCAACAGTATTTAAAGAAATTTCAAATAAATTAAAAATACTAAATAAAAAGAGTAAATAA